TCCATATTTTCTAAACTCATTTCTAGCTCCACAATTAGCCTAGCTTCCAAAACTGTCGAATAAATTGATTTAGCTTGCATGTTCCTAAATGTTATGCATGCGTTTAGCCTATATGCCAGTTCTTCGGATGCTTTGTCCCCCCGTTTCATATTTGGAGCAATACACATGGGCATGATAACAAACCTTTCTGCATCAGATATGTCGGGTTTGCGAGTGTCAGTTATTAAAAAAATAGACAATTTTTTTTCACATGTTTTGTTCTGTCTGAGGGTGGTACAGTCATTTAACAATTTCAGACGTGTAGATGTCAACTCTCATGAGCTTATTCATTTCACCCGACACATATATAGGCTATGCGTTTCACCAGCACCCACGTCCACTTTCCGACAATCGGGGTGGGATTTTATGGACGCCCCTGTATTTTAAGAGTCATTTTCCCGCCTACCGTCCTCTAGATGAAAGATTTGAATGATCTATTACCACCCGAGTGTGAGCGAGTATGCTTCCCTTAACCCGTGAAATTGATCTGATTAGCCCCGCAATGGGTCATAAAGAGAAGTGGATTTGCTGAAACTGCGCTTCCAGTGTGTGTGTGTGTAGGGATAGAGAGAGAGGCAGAAAGAGAGAGAGAGGATGCATTTGTGTTGCTGGTTTGAAGAGCATTGGAAACAGAGAGAAGAGGACACGACATTAAGGCACATCATAGGCCGTCTTTCATGGGCGCGAGCTCGTTTGGTTTGTATTTGCATGTAGAGAGCAGCAGCTTCCATTGATTGGAGCTGAATGCGCGTAAAACAGCTGCTTCTCCCTGATAGCACGAGACCGGCCACTCCATTCAGCTGCACAGAGAAATGATCTGAAACCATGTCCTCAAATCAGCACTCGACCGAAAGGAAGAGATGCACTTTTGTTTGAACGAGAATATTCCTGCGATGCGCCTCTTTGTTTACCCCCTTTGAGTTATGAAGTTGTTACATGCGACAGCCCAAAGAGCACCAGTGGAGATCAAATAAATGCATTGGACCTAAAGCAGCCGAACACAGGGTGATGGTGTTATACGAACAGACGGATTCATATTTTGAAGGCTAATATGTCGGGGATTGATAAATGAGAACGAATAACTAAATGGAGACTAAATAACGAATATTTGGGAAATTAATTGTTTGACCTATTGCAGCTTTGTGGAGTTTGCTGTCATCAGCATCAATTGAAAACCGTCTTTAGATGTTTCTCTCTCGAGCGAGGAATTATCAAAAACAAAACCTGCACTCGAGGCTCTCGTGATTTTCCCTCTCACCTTTTTTCGTCAGTTGTTCTTAGAAATAAGTCAAACTCTCATTATGACGCAACTATCAGAATTTCACGTCCTCGACTGGGTTCTAAGAATTTGTAGCATAACCTACATAGGCCACCATCACACAGTATACAAATTCAGAAAGAAAGTTCGTTCTTGAAAAGACGAAGTGCATGAATCACAACCCGCCTAACGTTCCGAGTTTCCGTTTTAATTATTTTTGTTCTTCGTCTTTTTCTATAATTATAATTATTATTATTATTATGTTATAACATTGCTGTTATTATTATTATTATTATGTTATATGATACAATTATAATAATAATCATTATGTTTATTTTAAATAGTTTATTATTGTTTTTTGTTTTTGTTTTTTAGAAATAACAACACACACACACACACACACACACACAAAATAATAATAATAATATATCTTACAAATATTTTGGGCAGAATTTACTATAACATTATGCTTTTTACAGCTGAGCTCCTTTGTGATTTTCCACAGCTGGTAACTGAGAAGAGAAACGTTGTGTTGCTTAAAAATAAATGTGACGAACAAGCCTTTCAAAGCGTGAATATTGCAAGTGTAGCGCTCATGTTTCGCTATGGACTGAACCCCCTCCCCTGTCTTCATCATTCGGTAGCTGGGGTGAATTGTGTGTCCTCTGGTTCACCCCTCTATGTTTGGACAGCTTTACCTGGGCACTCTAGGCCGACCCTTTCATCAAATCTCCTCACATCTTCAACTGGTCGCTACAAACGTCATGGAGGCTTGCGTTAAAAATTGATTCATTCATCGCCATACAACCTACGCGTGTATAACTTGTGTATGGAGGGTCCATATACTATATATGTGTATATATATATATATATACATAAATTACAAAATCAAGTCATGCAGAAGATGAACAGATAACAATCGCACTCGCCTCCACGAACAAGCAAAAATGAAAGCGGATGAAAATTAGCACAATTGTTTTGATTTAGCGTATTATATAATTCACAAAAATGATAACAACAGTACTACTACTACTAGTCTACTAACACTAATAATAATAACAGTAGTTGCGATAGCAAATTTAATATTTGTTTGTTTTTTAATGAGTACTATTGTGCACCATATTGTTTGTGATAGCTTCCATCGTCATGACCTGCTTTCGGATTTTATCATTTGTTCACCCGTTCAAAAACACACTTCACCAAAATTATTATGGAGAGGTTTTATGTGTCGATAAATGGTGCTCGATAAACAAAGCGTGTTATCAGCGCACATCTTCTAACCCTTGTTATAGGATAGACTAAAATAAAACGGCCGGGTCTTAAGTTCTCACCCACATTGAAAAGTGTGATACCTCCTGATTTTAATCTGCCTAGCCTGACATAATCATGCACAAATTATCTACCCAATCTTCAACCTGACCCAGTATCGCTGTCTACCACCGATTTACTGTAGTGTCTATGAATCAACCTGGTGGCCCCGGCTAAAAAGAACGGGCCTGATTTAACATAGCTACAGCCCACCCCCTCATATATATATATATATATATATATATATATTTATATTATACGGAACTGCAATGTATTAGATTTATTTTTTTTCTCTTTTTCTTGTACAACATGTTATAGCTGTATAACAGGATTCTGTTCCATATTTTGTTTTGACAACCCGAAGTATGATAAATGACAGCATTTTTTGAGAGGGAAGCACCTCGAATACTTCCAAACTCGTGTCTCTAGTGTTCGGGACTGTTTCCATCCATGTTCCGCGCACTAAGCTTAAGACATTCAGTCAAGAAACAAAACACATACTCAGGATTTAATTTTTACCGTCGCGTGTTGCCTTCGAGTACCTCTAATGTACGCTCGCGCGGATCATTACACGCGTCCGCTGACAGCTCGACAATGACAGTGAGCCAGTGCAACACTTTCCATCCAACTTCGGTCTTTACCAGCGAAAGGAGAGGCTTTCCTCTTCGTACGGGGGGAGAGAAGATGCACATTTCCTGAATCAGCATTTTCAACCAATTCCATTTTTTAAAGGAACATGAAAGGTTCGTCTCCACGATGGAATGGAAATTATCGCTATTATTATATAATTTACTATATAAATCATTCTTACTAGTTTTATTATTCATTTGAAATCACATTAAGCTATTTGAGTAGCACTGGTGTTTTCATATCGTTTTCTGGACACCTAAAGAGGAATAACTATCGCGAGAGAAACGCAAGCTTGCAGAGCACATATTTTACATCCAATGCGTAGAGTATATTTCCTGCCTGTTTACTGACGTCACGTCCAGCGGCGTCGGCAGGGCTGGCCATCATCTCAGCGCATTTCAGAGCATCAAACGAGCAGACCAATTACATGTTGTCAATCTGTGGGGACGGGCCGGCCAAAGCGGAGCTTTACAGACAAAATATCACCCTAAGGGCCAAGCCCCCCTTTATTACAACGCAACCAAGTACAATAATAGCGAATAATACCTGACACTGTCCCTTAATGTGGCGTCTGAACACACTCTCTGAAGAAATAGCCTACGTTCTCATTATATATTATGGGTTAAAGTTTTACCCGTTCGCACTGAAACGCTAATGTAGCTATTTGCATCACGTTACATGTAATGGCCCCTTAAATGAATAATGATGCTGTCGTTCGGTTGGTGTCCTTCAAGGAATAAAGAACACCGACTAAAGATGCCAGAGAAAGCCTGTGTTTAAAGTGTGAGAAGAGAGGAACGTATGGCCGTAGTCTTACAGCACCACTAGCTTATATGTCGCAGTCAGGGTTTAAGAGCCTCGTTTGAACATGCAGAGGGAACCATTAGAAAAACGTGCTTGTCACCGCGAGAGGACGCACTGTCACAATTTAAAAGAGCACACACACCACACGAGCTCCCACTGATAACACACAGTCGTTTAGACACAAAAGACAGCAGGCCACAGAACGATGCTGCCCTTGACATAGCAACTAATATTTCAAGATTTGCATTTTTTTTGTTTATGTAGGCCTATTTATTTTACTAAGCAACCTTAATAAATACAAGAATTATTGAGCACGTAATTCATTCCAAAAATCTGTTTAAGAAATCTTTTTGATTTAAAACACATTTAAGTTTCTATTTCAGACGCTGCCGTCGTCCTAATTTAAATTCGTTACTTTTTATCCAAATTGCTACTTGATTCATGAACAATGTTCTTTTTCTTTATGATTCAGGCCTAAATTAAGTTAGCTTACACTTTATTTTAAAGTGTATGTTACGTACTTCAGTCATAACAGTGAATTATGCAATTATATGCAACTAACCCTAAACCAAAATCGAACTCTACAGTAAGTAGGCTACCTGTTGTTAATTAATATTACTCAGTACTGAAATGTATAATTACACTGTAACAAGAACACCTTAAAATAAAGTGTATCCTAAATGTATTTAAGCTGCGTAAACACATTTGGCGTGTTTGTGTTTTACATATAATGTGTGTTGATTATTTACACGTTCTACTAAAAAAATGCTCCATTTTGTATATGAATGGGGAGCAGAATTGGGCGCAGCTTCTGGTCATCTTTCCCTGGCCCACTTTATTAAATTAGTCCATGCTGTTGGGCCCCGCCCCTGCTGATGACACCACAGACCCTCCTTAAGTTGCGTCGCGCCACAGCTGTCTGCGAGCATTGAGCTGACTGGCGCCATCCTGAAAGAATGCCTTCACTGTAAAAAAACACTGAGAGCAGTGCATTCAGAGACAGAGGGAGTGAGCACTAGAGAGAGCGAGAGAGATAGAGGGAGGGATGGAAATAGAGTAAAAGGGAAGAGGGTTACTACTGCGCATAAACACAGATTTGATCAAACTTGTGCTCGGTCAGAAGGCAGAAAACGTATCCAGATCGACCCGGCTCGGCCTGAACCGTCAAACTCACTTGTTGAGTCTACGCAACGCAACAGTACTATACTGAGAGAAAAACTTGCGGAACTTGACTCGCGTTTGGATGCGTACGCTGACTTATGTCCAACATTAGTATAAATGCATTTGACTTTCACAAGTTAATACGCGTTTATTGAACGGACGGATCCAGTTTATACGAGCTTCTGACAATTTGCCAATGACAGAAAGAACACAAACGAACGGACGGACTTTGTAAAAACAAATTGTCTTGTTCAATTTCAGGTGATCGGAAGTAAAAAAACAAAAACAAATAAAATACAAAAAACGAACGAACCTGTGGATTAAACAAAGGAGGAGTTTGGACTTTTTTGAACGTTCGTGTTCTACGTTTCGGTGAGTGTATGAACGCTTGTTAAAAAAAAAACGATGGAAGTAAGTCCGGAGCAACCCCGTTGGATGACCCACCATCACCCGGTCATTAACGGCCAGCATCCCGATTCACACCACCCAGGACTGGGACACTCCTACATGGACCCGTCGCAGTATCCCCTCGCGGAAGATGTGGATGTATTGTTTAATATCGACGGACAGAGCAACCACCCGTACTACGGGAACTCGGTTCGGGCTGTGCAGAGGTACCCGCCACCTCACGGTAAGTATATCAGCCCTACATTATTTTACATTATTCCTCTTATGTCCATTCTGACTAAATTAATAATGTGTAATAAGAGAGAAACTGCTCTTAGGATTGTACTGAAAATGCAACTGACATTTTGAACAATGTCAGTGTAGTTTACGTGTGGCTTACCTGAAGTGGTGTGTCACTGGTTTCACATCTTTCTAGTATTCTATGGTTAAATGGCTTTTTAGGGTATACAATAATTATATAATATTGGATAACGCAATGCATTCATTTCATTTTAGAAAACCGTTTAATTAAATTTGAATGTGATCAAAAATAAAATGTGAACAAGCAGCGTTATTCGAAAACACACACACACACACACACACACACACACACACAGCTAGTTGAAAATATATGTATTATGTTGGTAGAACGATGTTGTAATATATTAAAGTAAAAATATTTATATTAACACTAGTTGGCTGGGATTCAGGTGAATGATTTGATGATTTAATGATTTAAAAGTCGTTCTCTAAAAAATGAAGCGAATTTTTCCTGTACTAGGTACTTGAATTTTAGTGCGGAAGAACAATTGCTTTAATTTATTGACATGACTTCCTGAGCGGAATGGGGCAAAGCATGACCTTGTTTCTCTTTTGAATGGCCCCATCTCTAGACATAGCAAAACTTTCAAAATCCGTGCAGCACCAATAGATACTGGTGGGTATCGAAAGTCTTTTGAAAGTGAGAAACTCTCGAGGGCTGTTAATTGCGACCCTTCCCAGCGCCATCGAAAGCCTCTCAGAGTAATGTAGGCCTTTACGTGCAGTTTCACAGTTTTACTCATTTCGTCAAGTTGCACTAGTTCTTTCATGAAATAAAAGACCGTTGCTAAAAGAGTTTCAGCGCATAAAATACCAGATATGCGTGAAATACATGTAAAAACGTATCATTCCAAACAAAGTGTAAAAATATCCTGACCGATTGTTTTTGCAGTAATTTTAAATGTATATTTATACGTGTTATTATTATTAATCTTTCTTTAATTCTGTCGTTTATTATACACACATAATTGTGACGTTTAACGACCGTGTTTACAAAACACATCGTGCTTTTTCTAATCGTTGAGATGTCATTTCTTGGCTCCTTAATGTGACAAATCCCACAGCCCCACCTCGTCCTCTCCTAACAGCAGGCTCGTCTTTTGTTTCAGCAGGTACTCAGGTGTGTCGCCCATCATTGCTGCACGGCTCTCTTCCTTGGCTCGATGGAAGTAAACCTATCGGCCCTCACCACAGTACCTCCCCCTGGAACCTTGGGCATTTCCCCAAGACTTCCCTGCATCACAGTTCCCCTGGGCCTCTGTCCGTCTACCCCCCAGCCTCCTCCTCCTCGCTGTCCGCTGGCCACTCCAGCCCACACCTCTTCACCTTTCCCCCCACTCCACCAAAAGATGTGTCCCCTGACCCCGCGATTTCTACGTCTGGCTCAGGCTTATCTGTACGGCAGGAGGACAAAGAGTGCATTAAGTACCAGGTGTCTCTGGCCGAAAGCATGAAGCTGGATTCGGCTCATTGTCGGAGCATGGCCTCTATCGGACCGGGCGCGTCCTCCGCGCACCACCCCATCGCCACTTACCCATCCTATGTGTCCGATTACGGGCCGGGGCTCTTCCCACCAAGTAGCCTGATAGGTGGGTCCTCTTCTAGTTATGGTTCCAAAACGAGACCAAAAACAAGGTCCTGTTCAGGTAGGCGTGCGCTTTACTACCCTTTGATTTTTACTAACATAATCATAGTAAGATCATTCAACAGTAAATTTTCCTCTAAAAAGCTCTATTACTGTGCACTTGCCATTCTTCTCGTTTTCCTCAAAAACAGCCTCCCAGGTTAGCCAATTCCCAGACTATTGATTTGTTCCTGGACTTTTTTTTTTTTTGGTCTATGCCAAGGCTTGGCTATCAGATTTGGGCACAGTCCACCTCCCTTATTCAAAGTGCATCAATGGCTCCACTCCTTAAAATACAAAGGAATATACAATGATTAAAGATATTACAGCAAGATAAGATTAAATAAAATACCACCATATATTTATAAAAAAAAACTATTAATAATTAAACATATTGGGAAGTAATATGATTAATTTGAGCTATTATATAATCCTGTGCGCTTGATTAATTTATGATGCAATAATCTCATCTTTTCTGTTGTGGTATCAGTCTAAATGATCAATCCGCAATAGACTTTTTATTTTACAGAAATTAGAGATTTGTTAACACGCCAGCCTTGCAATATTCCGTTATTATATTCCGCTTTGAAGAATATTATATCTAATGTCGTCAAGTTACAAAGCGGAATTAGCTTCCCTGATTTATTAAACGTCGCTCAGCACATGCAGATGAGTCTACACGTTTAAAGCGGAGCGCTAGGGGTTTCCGGATGTAGATGTGTGTGTGTGTGCGTGTGTTTTCTCTCTCATCTCTTGCTCCTCTTGTGCCTCGCAGTGCACGGCCCCGTCTCTCGCGCGTTTATATGTTTAAGCTAATCCAATTATTTTCAGACTGCTGCATGCGACAGTTGCATTGTTTACTTTGCGCAGAAACTTTGATAGAGTCCGGATGCGCCGCGGATCGCTCGGAATAACGAATGAGCTGGCGCAATGCACGGCCGACATGCACAGACAAGAGTCTTATCCAAACACACAGAGAAAATGATTTCAAAAGGTCAACCAGCTTTTTAAATGCGATTAGCGAACGGACCATTTTTAAGTCATGGTCTATTCATAACGATTGATTTTATGATAATGAGAGAAAATATCTATTCTGCTCTCTCGAAATCGTTTTAACCTGTGTTACAATTTTTTTAATTAAGGTTTTTATTATTATTTTTTGTATAAATATCATTGCTATTTAATTCGTTTGCTGTTTTATTTGGAATACATAGTTTGCACAATAAGCATAAACTATATCGAAGCACTACCACTAAAGTTCTAGAGTCGTTCTTTTTAGGTTTTATTTTGAACCAATGTTGTATGCTGCGCGATTTTCTAAAGATGCAGCAGAACGCTCTTTTACGCACTTGTGTGTGTCACTGTCTGAGGTGATATGCTCGCGAGCTCTGTGGTTTTTGGGGCAGTAAGTAGAAGCACAAAGAGACTCGTTGCCTCCACACATGAGGGCAGAAATGCTGCCGGGTACAGGGGGCTTGCACGGCGAGCTTGTTTTTCGTCTCAGCGGAGCGACCGGAGGCGTGGGTCACTGAACATGTCAGTCAAACGGAAAGAATGCCAATCAAACGCTACGCTGTTTTAATTACGTAAAGAGAGCGGGTTACACAATGAGTTGATTAGACCGACGCTTTCACTTACTGTTGCTGAATCAATTTAACATTATTTCAGCCTCAGATTCTAAAATCTACTTTAAAATAGCATAAAGAATTATTCTTAGTCGCATGGTTTAATGAAGCGGGAGGTTGTTTCTTTGGAAGTCGAGTCATGCCGTTTTATCCAGCTATTTGCGATTCCCTCTTCTAATAAATAATGCAGTATTTCCAAGACATCGTTGTTTAGAGCCTATGATACGTTTGTTAAGACCTATCTCTGTGTACATTTTCACAGCATTGCCTATATAACCGCTAAATTATTTGTAGATCTTATCAGATGATGTCATATTTGACGACTGAAGAGTTAAGCTTAGTGATGTCATATTAGATAATGCTTTTTATGTGGTAATGCATTAAGAATAATAACAATAATAATAATATGTTATTAATGCATTTCATATTCATTATTTCTGATCAATGCGAATCTTTAGCCTGTTTGAATTTTTGATATTGCCTTTTCATATTTGTTTTTATGAATAATTCATTATTTGTATTTTTTTTAATGTGTGCAATATGTCTGTAATATTAAAACAATTATTAGTAAATATTTTGTTTATATTATGTGTATAATATTGATATGTAATTATTACTATTTTAACATGTATCAAAGCGACTGGCCACGGGCGTTTAGTATGTTCACTAGTGGCGTGGCCTGTGATGATTGTGTAGTTGTGTGCATGCAAGTGTGTTTTAATGGTTCTAAAAAATCAGTTGTGCATGCGTGTGTGTGTCTGTGTTCGCAGAGGGTAGAGAATGTGTTAACTGCGGGGCCACCTCGACTCCTCTGTGGCGGAGGGATGGCACCGGTCACTATTTGTGTAACGCCTGCGGACTGTACCACAAGATGAACGGACAGAACCGACCCCTCATCAAGCCCAAGCGGAGGCTGGTATGTTGCTCTATTGCACTGCATTAATGACACTTGTCTCTTTCTCTTTTTCTACCCAGGAAGAAGTGTTAGCTGCAAGAAATTGACTCGCCAAGCGCAGGTGTCATTTCTTTAAGATTAAGCAATAGCAGTTATTATTATTATCATCAATAATGATAATAATGCCATTTTATGTATCAGATTTTATTTCAATTTTCTTCTATTTTTTTCCCGCTCTAAACAAATCCGTAGACAATTTTATTTTATCGCAAATATTGCTGACACTGTGTCTACGTGTCAGCATAACGAAATTTGTCACGGAGAGACTTCAAAGAGTTGTGAAACGAGCGCTTATCTCAAATGAGTACGCGTGGGAGACGATCAGCTCCAACAGGTCAAATATGTCTGCAGAAATTAGGTTCAATTCTGACAATATGCCATTCATCAGGGGACACTGTTTCACAGGGATTTAATAAATGAGAGAGAGAGAGAGAGAGAGAGAGAGAGAGAAACTCTGTTTTTCAATGGCCTGGCAGCACAGAAACACGTCTCTCTTTGGGCTTTGGATAGAGTCGAGGCTCTTGAGGCGCAGAGAAATAGTCCGAGCGCTGCTATTTTGGCATTGGCCTTCTCTCCCTCTCTAATGTGAAAAGCCGACTTCCCAGGAAAAGACTGGCGGATATCTGAGCTCTGCTGATAAAACTCCTCGAAAAACAGCGCTCGCTCGCGCAGTCTAAACATACAGGCGAGAACGAGAAGCGAGTCACGACTTCAGATTGATCTTCACTAAGCTCAAGTAGTCTAGAGAAAAGAGAAAATAATAGCTCGAAGACGAATAAAACGCGAATAAAGAATGACCCGTATAGAACAAATATTGTTCTCTTCGTCTAATGTGTTTGAATTGAATTTATTTGGCAATAAAATTGAGCTGTATTTTGTAATTGACAAACGAGTCCGATCGGGAAAAAACGGCCAGTCATAGTAACGTCGCCCTATGACGCTTCAATGAGTCATGCTCTTGATTATCAATTTGGCTTTAGGCGGAATTAAACGACACAGTTAAGAATAATTTGTAATTTCAGTATGTACCGTCAACATTTCTGTATTAATCCAGAACGCAGCATGAATTTTCTTTCGGCATATTTCAAAATATGTTGCTGATCCCAACAAATTCATTGCATTTCGTTTGAGTTTTCCCTTGTTCCCCATTGTCTTTTTTACTTATTGTTTTTTATTTACTTTTTTACTTATTATTTATATTTGTTTTATATTATATTTATATTTGATTATGTGAGTAACTGCTTATAATTAATAATTCTAACTGCTTTTAATCAATGCATGCTAATTTAGAGCAAGGTATTTTAGTGCAGCATATTGATGTGAATAAAGATGGCTAATATCTATCTGAAGGTTGATGTTTAAACGTGGATCCATTTCATGCAGAGCCGCTGTTTCTCCATCATTTAATGGGAATATGTCATCAGCTTTAATGGGCACTATTTAAACCAGTGCTTTCATGTCCTCTGTAAATATTTAGGTTTGAGATGGCATGTGTGCAAGGCACTATTTTTACCCTAGAGTTTAAGGCACCAGTGTTATGGAGATCTCTTTTCCTCTGACATATTTCTGCATTGCTCAAAACCATTTGCAGCTTCGGGAAACAGGAGGGTTGGGGGCCATTAACACTGTAGGAATGCAATCATCATCTTAAGTTATTATATTATGAGTGTAATAACCGTGGTTCTTTCTCTGTGTGTGTATGTCCATCAGTCCGCTGCCAGACGAGCGGGGACCTCATGCGCAAACTGTCAAACGACCACGACGACACTGTGGCGGAGAAATGCGAACGGCGATCCCGTCTGCAATGCCTGCGGCCTCTATTACAAATTACACAATGTAAGCTCCATAGCTGTCTTACACTTATCTAGTAAGATATTTTCTATCTTCTCTTTGCATGATGGCAGCGTTCATGCCATTTCTTTCATTTTCTTTCTTTCTTTCTTTCTTTCTTTCACAACATTCACAACAAGGTTCATGCATTGACTACTAAAAAATGACTATGGATTTTTGTTTAGTGACCATTATAATAATCGATCACACCAGCTGTCTAATTTTTATTTTTCCATCAAAAAAAGTTCAGATTTGTTGCATATTCCGAAGCCTGTCCAACTGGCCCTACTATAGTAGTTAGTATTGTGATTTTCGCACCCCAGGGCCAACTTAACCCAATCTGCGAACCTGAAATGTTTTAACATTCCCCAATGGTCTCAAGCCGTTAGAGTCAATTACATGCAGGGATTCGTCTTGTTCTTCCTCATATTATTATTTATTTTTATGGCTATTATGCTAGAGCTAAACTGCTAGTACTGTTGTACTATTGAATTACACTTCAGTTGGTGGTATTTCTATGTTAAACATATGCTGGGGAACATTTTCATTCTACCTAATCAGCTCTGGTATCCTGTATCATCACACTTTGAGGCCCCACACTCCTGTTACATTCCCCTACTAGTCACGCAAGCGCACCCTTTTAAATCATTTTGCCATGTTGGTTTTTCGTAAGAACTCGAGAAAAAAAAATCCCCTAAACCTGACCTAGGTTATCAGGGAAACAAATAACATTATTTTCGTTTGAAACAACCAAGAGTTTGGGTAATTGGAAAATTAGTTTGTTTTGGTACATCCTATTTTCTGTTAAGGTCGGCCTGCTTTGAATCAAATTCCAGATTTTGCATGCTAAATTAAGCTGAGCTCTCTCCAGAGGGTTCTTCACTAACTCACATGTTGGCATTATCACAACCACTCCCATCTCTCGTTGAGCCGACAGGGATTTGTCAGAAGAACTTGAGTTGTGATTGTATTTGTATGTCTGTCAGTCTAAGGTTAGACTTCTGACCTGTTTCCTTCTCAATTTCTTTGTGGTCATTTCAAACCCCCCAAAAGCATAACTGAATAACGTTTAAGAGTGTTTCTAATAGCCGACGGCTATAAGCATGTGTTTTCTGTGATGCCCAATGGAGATGTTTTAAATGAACAGTTTTGCTTTGGGGTGTGAGTTCACACACACACACACACACACACACACACACACACTGGCACATTCACTCACATTTACATTAGTGGCTGGCCAATATGGGTTTTCCGATAACTGACGTTAATGCAGATATCTAGAGAAGAGTTTTTGCAGATATGTTTTTTATATAATCCAATTTGATGTTAACAAATAAGAAAATTGTTACAAATTTAGAAAATACTTAAATGAAATGACTAAATTACTCAAAATTACAAATTTGCACAACCACAATTTTGGGTAGAAGTAGAAAGTGCATTGTTTATTAAAGCCTTAAAAATAAAATCAAACGCCTGTTAAGGAATACATCTTAGTATCACTTAATAGCTCTTGAACAAAGCATCTAGAGTGTTTTAAGACAGAGAGGGAGAAAGAGACGGTCCACTTATGGGGTGAAAGTGGCAGGCTTTGGCAGACGGATGTGGCAGTTCCACTGCGCTTGAGCCAGAGTCTGGGGTTTCTCTCTTTGGAAAGACCATGCCTGGCGTCAGGGTTCCAGAGGCTAAATCCAGCCTAGTCCTGATATGACCCGACACAAACACTCGTACATACAGACACGCTTGCTCAAACAAAGAAACGGACATATCGGCGATATAGTGTAGCTCTATTACACATGCTAGCACTTGAGTATTGCTATAAGTGTGTGAAGTGAGTGTCATTGTTTAACCAAATCCTAATCCTAAAAACTGTGATTTAAAAGGGTGTCAGCTTCCAATATGCCCGTAAGGAGGAGAAATCATAAATGAGATCTGTTTAATATCTCAACTGTTTCTCCAAGACGGCAATTACAGAGATTAGTTTTAAAAAAAGGCCTTTTGCTTAAAGGAACAAGTCAACTAAAAATATTATCAGTCCAGTTTCTTTTATGGACCACAAATAAAAATATTTTGATTCACAATGAAAGTCAATGGGGTCTAAAACCACACTTTCATTGTATAGACATTTAAAAAAAAAAAAAAGTCTTCTTTTGTGTTTGAAGAAAGAAAATCATACAGTTTTGGAACGGCATGAGTAAAATGAATCCCTTTAGGTTTCTCAGTTGGTTTTTCTTAGAAAAACATCTCGCAGTGTCTCAAATGTGCTCTGATCTACTAAACTCTGCAAAATAGTCAGAAATTTCATTATGAACTCTCATTATGAATTGTCTCCTTTGTGTGTATTTTTATTACTCATAAGGATTTTTAGGAGAAACATCTGAGATTAAGTTAATACTTAAAAGAAACATAACTGGTTTTAGGTCTCCTGCAATATGAGGGACCGATCTCAAAGCAATAAAGTGTTCCTCTGGATGTGTTATTCAATGAAAAATGAAGACATTTTTCCATTATACTCCTGTCTTATGTAAGCACGATGGTCCTGTGGCCATTATTAACGTCTGCCGCTTCTCTCCTCGCAGATCAACCGACCACTCACCATGAAGAAAGAGGGCATCCAGACCCGGAACAGGAAGATGTCCAGCAAGTCCAAGAAGAGCAAAAAGTGCCATGACAGCATGGATGATTTCTCCAAAAGCTTGATGGAAAAGAACAGTTCTTTCAGCCCGGCCGCTCTGTCGCGTCACATGGCCTCGTTCCCTCCCTTCTCACACTCTGGCCACATGTTGACCACGCCCACCCCCATGCACCCCTCCTCCAGCTTGCCCTTCGTCCCTCACCACCCTTCCAGTATGGTGACAGCGATGGGCTAGAGCACCCTTCTACCTCCGACCGCCCAATCTCCCGACGGTGGACATCTCAAAGCACCGTTATCCTTGAAGCCTGTCACCCGCCGCAACCCTCCGACCTTGAACCAGCTCTCTCACATGCTCCGTCTGAGCTACAAGCTCCCCCCAAGACCCCTTCTCCGGTATGCCCTGCTTAAACCCCTCCAATCATGAAGCCCCGCACTGATGTCAACCTTCATTTGTGTACAAATGCCATCTTTCCTGTGGGCATCAAGGCACAAACATTACGAGACTTTAAACAAACCTCCTCTAATTCCCCAACCCGCACCTTTTCTTCTTCTACGCATCTCCTCTTCTTTGCCCCTGTGAGACATGAGGAATCGAGCTGTGAATGACAACAGGAGATGAACTCTGCATATATTTGTAAAAAATTGTCTGAAATACATTTAATGAAGACTTTTTAAAGTGCGAAATGAAAAAAGGCGAGGTCAGGAAATGCCCGTGGGCAGCTAATGATAAGAAGGGTACGACTCAAACCTGGAAGATGGAACGGCGTGGTGACGCAGCCACGATTTCTATCCCAGAAAAGTAAGAGACGAGATGTAGGGAGAAGAAAAGTAGAAAGGAAATGGTGTGTAATGCATTAAAACTTGTAGTCAGGTCTGTCTCGCAGACTTCCAGCTACTCTTCTGGATGTGTTATAGGTCTTGGGCAATTGGTTTGTGTTCACACATACACACACACACACACACACACACACATGCACACACACACACACTCACGTATACACCTGAAAGACTTCTTTGGGCCCAGTTTATATGCATTGTGAAAAAAGTTCCTGTATTTGTTATTTGTATGTATAATTCAGAGTACCAAAAATACGAAAGAAACAAAGATGTAGAATTATTTCTTTATGTAATGCAGACTGAATGGTTGTACAAATTTAATAATCACTAGTATAAAAAAAGACTTGCTTTTTGTTAATTTTTTTTCCCTCTTTAAAAATAATAAACTAGTTTAATCTCTGTTGACAGCATACGAGGACGCAACGGTGGAAGCTTTTGTGAGTGTTTGCGTACGACTTTCTGTGTGAATGCGAGAGTGAGTTTTTGTGGGTATATGTGACTGTGTATGTGTGATATCTGACACATGGCTTTCGCTAGCCACAAGGACACCTCTAGATTTACCCAGAATGCTGTTGGCCACATACCAACAGGAAGCCTAGAAATAAACAGACATGTTGTGAGGGACTCTACACAGCCTCAAACTCCTCACGCTACCAATGTGAGTTTGACATTCCATCAACACTGCTGTTAGCATGCTAGTCACATGAGACATGTTTTTTGAACATGTTAGGACACAAATAAGAGTATTGGCAGTCAGGAGATTGAAAGTCAGCCTTCCGTCCAAATTATGTTGAAAGCAAAATCGGTTTACGTTTTGAAGACACAGAAGCTTAAAATACCTTGGAACAGCCGCAGTTTATAATAACAAGTTTGATCCATGAATAATCAAAGATGTAATACATCATTTCAAATTTGTGAATTTCAATGAAAAAGTAAACTGTACTGTAGGAATGAGGCAATCGAGTGATGAATTTGGCAATGCAATCTATTTGAATTTTAGTTTTAGAGTTAAAGACATCTACTAAAAGAGCAGAGTGTGAAGAAAAAAAAAGTAAACAGAAACATAGCCTTATGGGTAGACTATTGTAAAAGGTACCACAGCAGAAAATACCCTCGGCCTGTGGCTGCTAATACACAGTAAATGTAGAAAAGAAACTAATAAGTCTGCAAAAAAGTGGTTCAACGTTTCTGTGGTGCGATTAGTCTTAAGTTGGCATCTCAAGGGTAAGTTTACACTGCAATTTGGCTCTTGACAAAGTTTTGGACGTTACATGTTTTACAAACCAAAAACCGAAACAGAATAATCCAACATACTACAAAATTAAAAAGAAATACATTTCGCAATTTGGGGCCAGACTGTAGGCCAAAATCTGGTCTGCAAAATCAGTAAGAGGCAACGCAAGAACATTACAAATGTTCAAAAGCAGTCGTTACACATGCAGGAAATCTTTTTTTTTTCAAGCTGACTTTGATCAATGGTTCATTGTGGGTTTGCAGGGTCATTGCTTACTGTTCCATTGTAGCTAGCCATGGTCTTCACTCCATTAGTTTTTATGGGTCGTAAGAAAGGACCTGCCCTGAGGGCTTTTGTTTGATTATAAAGCGTTCAGTTTGTAGAAGAACTGTTAACTTAAAGATTATATGTAATATGAACAATACATATGTTTGATAGCATAACATGGGAAATCTATTAAAGATAGAGTACTAAGTTCAAAGAAACATTCATCATTAACCGAGGCTAATACTTATTACGCATTACTCGCATGACGACAAAAACATTTCATCAGGGTTAAGATTTCCAATCCTGTAGGTGAACGTAGAAAACAAACACAAAGGTTTGTTTTATATTAGCATCATGCTAAATTGAACACAGAGCAGCTGTCACCCAACACTGCATGATTAATTTGCATGATTCTTTTTCTTAACAAAGTGAATGTAGAGGAGCTGTTTTGTTTTTAGTTGCTGTTGTGGTTTCATACATTTGCATGCAGCTTGTGCTGATGGCACATTAGCATGCTAAGAAACTTTCTCTGCGAAGTCTTAAAAAAGAGGAACTGACCCCAGACCACAGGGACGCTAAGGACCCACACTTACACATATAGTAGAGAGCAGATGAAAACGTATTTACACACTCACGTACACTTAACTACAAAACGACTACTTTTGTACTACTTACAAAATGAAACTTTCCACTCCTACAGTGTATGAAAAACAATTAGCTTTTCTGTTAGCGTAAAACACTTGCATTCGGTTTTGCAAATATGAACGTGTTGGAATGTCTCGCTGCCCTTTGCTGCCCTTTACTGCTCATTACTGTTGTAATGGCCATAATGAACCAGACATGAAAATGCAGATAGAGAGAGAGAGAGAGTGAAAGAGAGAATGAGAAGTTAGAGCTTCTAGGAGTCTGAGAGTGCAATGTCTGAGGCAACACTTTTTATGTGTTAAATCATCAGGTCTTATGAAAAATCATATCGTAATCTCATTTTGCTAGCTTCCGCTTTGACTACACCACACGGCAGTCACCGCATCAGTTTACTGGACTGACTTTAGCTGTTCTATTCACCAATATAACTCTTTTTCTATATTTAAATCACGTCTCTTATACTTGTGGCATTTTGTGCATTAACACTGTGATCTGTAACTGTAACTCAATATGGAATATGGGTGATCTTGAATTAGCTATATGCTAATTACAATTAAGCAGATATTTAAACTGTCCCTAAAGAAAGATCAAACGTTTTTGGTCCAAATACACATCCTTTAAGGTATGTTCCATTAGTTTTAAGTGCTGTCAATTAAACTAGTTACGTCACGTTACATGCAAACTACAGGATCCCCAGTAGACAAAATATCATGACACTGCAGAAAAAGCAAGCACACATTTGTTTTTTTTTTTGCTTTTGTGGTGACTTTGGTTTGACACTTCTGAGTCAAATGATGCAGCGAGCAGGGAATAATGATGGCATGATTAGATTATGTACAGACTAAGTATTTATTTATTTTTTTGGTCAAATGTCAGCTTTGTCTATTGACAGCAGTTGCTGACATTAGCTAGCTAACTAGCTTTTTTTTGATGAATTGAATTATTTTATTATTATTATTTTTTTTACTGTTTATTGATAGTCTAGTGAGTTGAAGTGTATAACAATACTAATATTGAAAAATATATGACAACTGATTATATTCTATGCACTAAAAACCAGCTAAAACCAGCCTAAGCTGTTGGCTTGTCTTAGCTGGTTTAAGCTGGAAGTTGCTGGTTTTAGCTGGTCTCCCAGACTGGCTGAGCTAGTTTTAACTGGTTTCCCAGCCTGATCAGCTAAAGAAGCGGGCCAAAACCCCTCTAAAACCAGCCTGCAAACCAGCTATGTCCAGACTGGAAAACCAGCTAAATCCAGCCAACCAGCTTAGGCTGGTCTCAGCAGTTTTTTTCCCCCTCAGCAGGGACGTACATCTTTAATAATGTTTTTTATTATTTAGTAATTTGTCTCAACTCTTAGTGAACTGGCGAAGTATAGTTTATAACTTGGGACAGCAAATAACCAAGACTGGAGTGTTAAATCCATGCTATTGAGCCCCTTTGCAGCTGTGTCAATTTAATTAAAATTTATGCCATATACTGAATTCTATGAATGCTATTAATATATATACTGTATATATAAGCAGTGGTAGGTAGATAGGCCAAAAATAAATCAAAATAAAAAAAAAAAAAACATTGCTTTGCAACCCAACATGGGACTTTTTGGTCATCTTCCAGTGTTTGGTTAACCCACTCAATATGACTGAAATAGTATGAAGTCAAGCTCTTTTTCCGGGTTAACAGAAAAAAAAATGAGTATGTGTTTGTAAACATTGTAGTTGCCATGGGAACAAGTACCTGAGAGGCGGTTACCTGCAGTTGACATAACTTTTATTATGACAGCTGTATGTTTGAACATCTAACCTGTGTTTGACTTCCTTGAGATTTGACCCTGCAGTCTTAATATAAGCTCAAACATGTTTTAACTCTAGACCATCTTAGCACAATCTCATCATCCAAATAATGCCTGTGTTGGAAGACAATCCTCTCATTATTATACTAAAAAAGGGGATCAATTATGTGTAAACAAGAGCCTAAAGGGGAACTCCACTAACTACCAGGAAAAAAGGTTTTGGACTGCCAAATAGTTTTCATGAGTGCTTACTTCCATTTTTTGACGTGCCAAATTTGTCTTGTGACACTACTAGTCTGACTTAAAGACCATATGAATTTAAAATATTTTGTTGCTGTTAATCCAAGTTAGCCTATTAGCGTTGTATAAACTGGTGTCCTGAAACATGACAAATACAATTGTAGCAGATATACAATATTCTTATATATAGGCTTACAATACACTTTACATTTCAAACCCAATATTTATATACTTCAAATCCAGTCTTTAACTGGGACCAACAATGGACCAACTAAATCCATATATACATTTTGTCCAATCAAATGTTCTTTAGACTGAGAAGATCCCTCCCACTAATACCACCTGCCACTCATTAGCAATAGCAAGTAGCAAGTCATGTTTTGATGGCTATTATGTTTCACCCATGCTTCTAGTTTGGGAAATACATCAACATAGAAAAGAAAACTGGTCTTCAAACCATCATGTGGTCATGAGTTGTTTGCGAAATATTCATAAAAAGGTATGTACTGTCTATCTTTCATTAATCATACTGGTAAAACCAACAAACAGCCATCCAGTGGAGTCATATTAACACAATGTAGACATGGGTTATTATAGTTAACTAAAACTAAACCATAAAATAGGAAAATAAATGAATAAATAAAATAAATAAAAATAAGCTTGCCAAGGCAGCATTTCTTATTCTCATTAGTTTAACTTGATGTACTAAAATAACTAAATAAAAAATACATGAATAAATAAAATAAAATCAATAGAAATAAACACTAAAAGCTAATAAAAAACCATCTTCTTTTACTGTAGCTTAAGTTTCCTTCAAGTTTTCCTCAAAAGTATCTGATATTATAGTGAAAATGTATGTTGATGACAATGATAGCCATCCAGTTATTATTGGTTATATTTTATTACCCATGCATGAACATTTATTTAGCAAAAAAAATAAAAAATGACCTGTCTGGTCAGATGCCATTATTCATTTAGCTAAACTCATTTGCGCAGTTGAATGTCAGCGGCGCAGATTTCCTTCCTGTTCATTGTTTTAAAGGGTGGAATTCACTTTTATTAGACTTGATATGCCAGCGGTGGCTCAGTTGAAAGCAAAGTGTTGATTAGATCTGCTAACCAGGGCTTAACTAGACATTCCAGCGCTGAGAATTGTTATGATAGTTGTGTTTATTGGAACGGTCCTTGGCGTAATTCTGCATCAGGTGACTGCTGAATGAAGTATGTCAGTGGTT